CATCAAAACTTAAAGGCCAGAGGTAGAACCAAAACTTGTTCTTATAGAAACACAACCATTGTGTTTCACACTAGATCTTTATCTGACACTGTTAAATGTTTGATAATCTTATCAAAACCAGAACCGGAGCTCTAATGCCAATTGAATATGGCGAAAAACACAAGAAATTGGGGTTTGAATTAGGTTTCTAAAATAAATGCTTTTTCAAAACCAACACAACAGGTAACAAAAAGAACAAGTTATTTATATGTTGGTTCGTTGTTAACGAAACTACCTCCAGTACACCCTACCAAGGTGATTTTTCCTTCTCAATAAGGACTTAATCCACTATAAGCGAAACTGACTACAGACACCACAAAGACAAATCGTCTATGTCTTCTCGAGTATATCTAACTAAACCCTAGTCACTCAAGAAAACCACTAAAACAAGATTGAGATTTACAAATTTTATTTACAAAGAGTGCTTCTTAGAAAGCATATTAGCACAAGTTAATACAATGAAAATATCACACAAATAACGAGCAAAAACTCTTTGTGTGTTTACAAAGAAAATATACAGAAAATAATATTTACTTCAGCAAAGTTTGTATGTTCAATAGTGTGAGCGATGCAATAACAACTAGCAACACCTTTCAATCTTCAAGTCTCCTTTATATAGGCAACTAAAAGATCCATTGGAGGGTAGAATTGGAATAGCATAATGCAACTATCTCTTTCATAACGATTTGCAAATGAGAGGCAAAATGGTACAAACGTATTGTCCTTAGCCCACAAAATCAGGTTAGTGAAGGCGAGGATGATCTTGTATTGTGTGCTATTTTCCTGACGCAAAATCTTTTGATCTTATCTTCTAATCTTCAGAGGTTTCTGATAAAATAATATTGAAGCACGCTTAGAAGGATCAAGAGACGAGTCGAGAGAATCTTCGGAACCTTAGTCTTTTGGTCTTCAGATTCTGACAAAATAAGTTTTTCTTAACCACCAATATTACGAGGTCATAATGTTAGTTGTGGTAATAGATTAATTATGGGCACATATTTTTTTATTTACTAGATGACATGTCACATCGGTCAAATATAGCAAACGTAGTGAAAACTACACTGAGTAAAATGGTTTGAATATCATCACCAACAATTAGCCACTTTTCATGATAAAAAATATTATTGACCATGTATATCACCACAATTTTTATTTTCAACAGTGATAGAATGTGATATTTATTTATATATAAGCGAAATCATCTATCGCTTCAGTACATAACAATCGTCTCTCTCAAAACAAAACTCTAACAACTCTTTCACTCGTCTCTCAAAACAAAATCCTAACAACTCTGTCACCTGTCTCTCTCATATGGAAACCACAAAACAAAAGCATAAGAACAAATCTTAGCCAATGAGTATTTACATATTTTTCTCTGTAGGTTTTTTTTTCAAAATCTGTTTCAATAGCTTGTTTCATAATGTTTGAACTTTCTTCTTTTTTCATCTTGTAGGCATGGATGCTTACTACAATAAAGAGGACAAAGATAAATTTAGCCTAACAAACTTGTGTAAAAGATCCAGAATGACATTCATTCAAAATATACATAAGTTTGCATGTATAAATTTATCTTCATCCTTATTTCATTGTTGACATGTCATTATGGGACTTAACATGTATGGTATGTTTCTGAAGCATTTTATGCCTTGATATGTTTGTTGTATCATGTTTGTTGGTTATTGTTTGTTGTTGATGAATGTTATTGTTAATGTCTGTTTAAAAGATGATTTATTATATATTATGTGGTTTGAGTGTTTTTCCAACCCCTTACCGAATATATAACTTCCCAAACTGCATTAGAAAATTATGATAAGATAGATAAAATTGTATTAGAAAACAAGTACACGTTCAATTCTTGACAAGTATTCTTCATATTGTTAACTGTGTGTTGTTCTTTGACCGTTAGAACTTGGTTTACTGATTGTAGATCTTCAACCACCCCCCTCTCTCCACCTCTAATTTTGTTTGCAAAGTAAATAATATTTTTCAAAAAAAAAAAATTAGAGGTGAAGGTAGGGGTTATTGAAGAAGTAGGATCATTAAACCAAGTTCTTACTGTCAAAGAACAAAATACAGATAAGGAGTTGAAGAACCTTTGTCAAGTATTGAACGTGAACTTATTCTTCTAATATAACTTAATTTGTCATATTATAATGTTTTAGTGCAAATTGGAAGGTTATATGTTTAGTGAGCATTGGCGAAATAAACATTCCACATAATTTATAATAAACTCATGGCTATATTTAACAACGGTTGTCTAGATCAACCATTGTTAAATATGTTGCATTTTAATATACCACAACGATTGTTTAAAGAAACCGTTGTGGTAGGTAACACGCTACATTGATATAATCACGGTCGCACACCCGTGGTTGAAATTATCATACATACAATCACACCTTACATCACAACGGTTGGACCTGTGTGATGATATATCATTTCCAACCGTTGTGATATGGATTTTCCATAGTAGTGAACCCGGTATTTAGAGTCTTTAGATCTTGTTCTTTAGAATTTTCAGAACTTGAGCGCAGAATATTGAAGGTAGACAATCCTTCAAAGGCTTTTCAATCAGAGTCACAATCAGAAGGTTTAGCACAAACGTTCTTCAGAACCGTTATCTAAGAGCTTTCTAGAACTTGACAACATCTTTTAAAGCACTTGTATCTCTTTAGAGTCAGAGTGTGTTAATTTCAGAGTCTGATGATGTCACACATCAAAACTTCAAATTCAGAATCTGTTAAAGCAAAAGTTACACACTAAACACAAAACCATTAGTGTACAAAGTTGTTCTCTAAGAAATAATGTATTGCTATCATCGAAACTAAAAGTCAGATGCATAACCAAAACTTGTTCTAACCATCAGTTCTTTTACTTCTGGTACTCCTAATGAAGCTTGTGACTCTTGAAAGTCACGTGAAGGTTCTATTCTTAAAAATTGAAAAGGAAGAGGTGGTAAATGATGCTAGAACGTAAGAATCTGTTGAGAATCTTGAAAAATCATTTGAGGTATTACAATCAAAGCTTGAAGATCTTGATGCTGTAAAGGAACTTCATTTGCAAGAGTGGGAAATGGTGATGCATGGTCTTAGAGAAAGTGAATTGTTGATCAGACATTCAGACTTGCGTTGCGATTGTGAGTTACTTTTGATTCGGACATTGAAGAAGGTAACATGAAGAGTGATTACAATAGTTAGGGAGATCAGAACTATAACAAAAAACTGTTCTGGCGGTGCAAATGTGAAGATTATAGAATTTCTATGGAGAATTTTTGAGAACCAAATAACGATTCCCACAAGTTGGGCCACTATTTCGTATTGGAATCAAGAATATAGATAAAAAAGATGAAGATGACCACAACGTAGAAGCTTCTTGTACTGTGGTTATGGTCTTACAACAAACAAAAAAGATACTTGCAAAATGTTAGCACTACAATGCTCAAACTACTATTTGAGAAAGATAGAACTATTGCGAGTTTGAAGAAAATAATACTTAGGTGTGACTCAGAATCATGCTTATATAAAGGAGATTATTAGAGTCGTTCTTAAATTGTTCGGCGTGATGTGCAAAAAATTGTTGAATGTGATCAATGATCGAAATGAAGGAGGTCGTGCTTCTATGCGGTGTCCATAAGTGAATGTCCACATGTGTATCAATGTGTATCAGTAAATGTAGAGCTCTTGGCTGAATTGGGCCGGTCTTAACAATATCCAAACATTATTTACTAAAATAGTTCAATGACATAGAATGATAAATAGTAATTTATAATCAACCTATTTTGAGTTCCTTTTCTAAAATGAACTTTGAGGTATAAGAATACCTGCCAAACAATATTGAAAATGATTTCTCTTGAGTATTGTAATGAATTCACACAATATTTACTTCATTATAAGGGTATAATCCTAACATTAGCTCAACAAGGTCATTTAACTCTCAAAATATAGTTCTAAAAGGCAAAAAGCTAAAGATGAAAAACTTCAAACCGTGTTGTGTTTTTGTTTTCTTTGTTTTTCTCAAGCAGGTGACACTGTATGTCCTATTGTCCACATTTCAAACTCCATATTTCTTCACATTCCGGCCACCCTAGCCTGCATGCTCATATCTCTCTCACATGCTTAGTTTTTATGCAACTAGTGATTATGAATAAAAAAACAAAGAAGAGCAAAATAAAAGAGGAAAATATGCAACATTGATAATCAGTGGTCCATTTGGAATAATGCCTAAAAAATGTCAAATTCAAGCTGCAGCCGGCAAGCTATCCTCAGTGTTCTCATTACTTGGTTCATATTCACAATCACAGGTAGTGCTGCTGGATTGAACTTTTCCCTATACTGTGGGCCTAAGGAACCCACAAATGATATTTAGCTACAGCAGATGAAGAAACATTGAGATTCCATTATGTGAACAAAGTAACAATCATGACTACATGGTGTTTTATATGCTCTTGTACTCATACTTCCCTTCAAGAAAGCATCAGAATTTAGCTTTACTTAATTGACAAGAGAAAATAGTATCTATGAAAGAATAAAGAAAAGCATTACAAAGTTATAACCAGTGTCACCAGAATATGTTAAGAGCCTTACATTAGATCAGATATGACAACAATGTAACAGAATATGTTAAAAGTCTCACATTAGATCAAATATGACAACAATGTAACATAGTCGTCAAAAATAGTTAAAATACACAATTTACTACTTAATTTAGTTCTGAAATTTAACCAAGTTTCATCTAGTTATTCAAAATGTCACCCCGATAATCCTTTCAATCTATTTACAGACAACAAACATTCAAAAAATTTCATGTTATTCCTTCAAGGCTACAAACCAGGATTTCCGAAAAAGGTCCGGGAACACGTTCTAGGTTTTTGATATCTCTGCAAGTATATCAAAGTCGCAATTAAGCCTATTACATTTAATCGTGATTCTACACAATATCAAGTCAATACGACGGAGGTTGATTTAAGGCCGTTGGTTTGTGGTTCCTGCAGCCACAGCAACAACATTCACAACTACAGATGAACCATCAGAACTAGCTGGATTTGGATACTCAATCAAAGACTGTCTACAAGTAGGACAAGAGGAGTGTGAAAGCAGCCATCTATCTACACACCTTACATGAAATCCATGGTTACATTTCGGCAGCACTCGAACTTTCTCTCCATCCACAAACTCTCCAAGACAAATCGGACAATCCGTAGCTGCAAAACTAGTACTAGCACTACAACTACCTCCTGATCCATAAACAGCTATAGGGATCTTACGCAAAGCACTCTTCTTCAAACCCTTTGAAGCTAAACGAGCTACGGTTTCATCTGGTGTCTCGAAAGCATATCTGTGACTACATCTTAGAGCACACCTTACAATTGAGTTAAGTCCTAATGCAAAAATAAGTGCACAAAGTAAAGCTGCTAAGATAAACACCATGTTGGTATCGAAATTTGAATCACCTGTGGCTGTGAAAGTTTCTCTTGGCCTATTCATGTCACTTGTTGAAGATGAATCCGCGTCGAGTAAAAGACGGTTAAGGCGTAGATGTAGACGGATCGCCATTGTGGATTCTACGTTTAAAAGAGTAACTTAGCAGTGTAGCGAAGTTGAGGTTGGTAGTACTATTTTGAATAGCAAAACTCAGAATTCTTGTGGCAGATAAGATGTGGTTTGGGTTGAAGTGTTTTGTGGTTTTAAGAAATTTCATAGGAAAACATGACAAAGATATTTATGTTTGGAAATGAAAGCAGGACAACTACTTTGTTGTCTCCTTTCATGTATTATTGAAGTGAGATAGTATAGTATTGATAGTAAGTGACATGAATTTAGAGTAGGGAAGAAATTATTGCACCTGATCCCACCTAATGAAAAACAGCTTAATTAAAGAAGCACTTATTCTCAGCACCAAATCCTTCCCCCACTCCTCCACTCAACCATAAATGTAAAGTTGAGAACTAATCCTTTCTCAACAATTTTATTTTTAGTTAGAGCCTGTGCAATATTATTATACCACAAAATTAGTGTAGAAATTGAATTGTCTTATTTTTCAATTACTTCTATAAAAGAAAAGGTAACGTTTAGTTAAGGTAAGGATGATGTTTATTGCAAATTTAGAATGAGGTTTGTATACACGTGGCACATCATGGATCATGGTTCATGGATCATTTGCCTAACCCCAAATGTAGGGTAAGGTCCACTCCATGGAAAATAAAAGGGTCCACGAGTTTCAGTTTATATCTACAATTGTGAGGAAGGAAAGAGATGGAATATAACTGAAAGATTTTACACGAAATTGGGATAGGGTTGGGAGAAACAAGCAAGCAACATCAACTACAGTGTTAAGAATCAAAGTTTAATGCAACCTATACTATACGGTTATTTGTTAACATAAGAATAGGTGAAACATATAATTATGGCCTGCTGTGAGTAACATGGGTGTGTTACTGACTTGAGGGCCCCAACCCACATGCTTATATGTTAGGAATTATAGTGAGTCGTGGCACAGTGGAAGCCTCAGTCCAGTGCTCATGTTAGGCTACATTTGTGGCATTTTGTCAATTTCTTTCTCCAATAGCTATTTTGATGAGATCAAATACGTCTTGCAGTCTTTTAAATGAGTACTTAATTGGAGGAATGGTTGTGTTCTCGGCAAAAGAGGGACACCTCATCTCAACTATTAATACATCATTCAACTTTGCATTGCAAGTCGGGTTAGAAGAAGCAATTTTAACCGCTATTATATATGAGTCATATCATGTGTTATTCACAAGTATTATCTCACTATCATTTTAGAACTATATCTCTTTGACTTCATTGATTTGGACATTAAAATGCTAAATTTATAGATCCTCCTCGCTTCGTCGTACCTAACATTCTCGTTGTCGCACTAGAAGAGCTAACTCTAGTCTCACAACACCTCTTTTTTCTCATTCTACCATAAAACACTTGCATCATCAATGAGAATTGACTATTGATTCCCTCGAATTATAGTGAAGACCCACCATTTTGTCACTGCTCATTTGTTTCAACCAATCTTCTTTCTACTATGGTGTTCGGTGGATTTCACGCAAACCATGACAACTTCTATGTCCACTCGACTAGCCATCCAAAATAATCTCGTAGTCCACCTCCTCTAACAATAGAAGTAGATTTAGTTTTAGTAACTTCTCTTTCCATTTCAGCTCTTTAAAATCCAGTTCCTCCAACTATCAGCCAAAGCACATTTTCAGATCCTTTCTACTTTTTCGTCTTCTCAGCAATTTTTATAAGGTCAAACCTTCAAACAACATCCACCGTAATCACTGATCTCTGGACAAAATATGTTCCAAATTCTCCAACAACTCAGCCAACTTAGGCGAGTGAAATGCTCAACAACGTCTACAACTTGGTAAAGCAACAAAACTCACATTTTTTGGATGAAAGATACCTCAAGATTAAAGAAAACATACAATACACTCATCCTAAAGACCATTCCCCGTGTGAAGCACCGTTGCATGACAATTGTAGAGCCACGCCACAACCGATCCTCGTTGATAGTGCATCTCCATGTCAGGAAGGTCGTAGGTTGCTATAATATCTCTAGTATCGAGAATACATATCTCCTCCACATGATTTCAGAAGAAGAGACGGTAGCCATATGTCGCACCTCAAAAAATCATTCGAACATACAATCCTCGCGCTAAAGGCCCGGAATGCGGTTTGACAGAGTCGCCACCGAACTTTATTTATCCCAAAGAGATGGGAAAGAAAAATATCGAGAAACCCTTTTGAAAGAAAAACAAGAACACGGTCATTGCAACCAATGTTCCGGATTCGGGAGTCAATTACACAAGGGGAAGGTATTAACACCCCTCACGTTCGTTGTACTCAACGAGAACCTCTTAGTACGATTTACGATGGGCGTTATCTAAACTTTCTTGTTTTCTTCTCAATGATAAATGCGAAACGATACGATAAAAGGATAACGGTGTTAGGGGAAATGAGTGGTTTAAGGATAGGGTGCTCGGAAAGGATTGGGGCCCTTGTGCCTACGTATGCTCATTTGGACGAGAACGAGAAATTAGAGCTTTCGTAGTTCGAATACAGAAAAGGATAAGGGGAAACGGAAGATGAATAGAAGGTAGCTCGCCAAGATCATTGCAATCTTGTGCCTGCGTATCTTACACTCAAACGAGAATGAAGAATCAGAGTCTCTGTAGTTCGTGGAGACGACCACGAAAAGATGGAGTTAACGTGTTGAAGTTTGTTTCGGATGATGATTACTCGAAGCTTAAAAAACGTTCATCGGACCCAAGTAATCGGGAGAGTGAGTCAAAGGTGTGACTCTCTCTCTTTTTCATCTTGAAAAGAAGTTGTGTTTGAATAGTGTTTGAGTAATGAGTGGTTAGAAGATGGTTTGAATGCTGTCGAGTTGGAAAGGTTTTAGAGGCGCCAATTGCTCACACACGAGTAAGATAACTCGCATCCAAACAACTGAAGAGAGATGAAAGGCTCAATCCCCCTCTTTGTCACCTTGAAAAGAGTTTCGATAGTTGTTAATTGTTTTGATAGTTTATTGAGAAAATCCACTTGACGTTGGATCAAGGTTTTAATTGTATTTACGTGTAAAACCTTGGTGGAATGGAAGTTGGTTTGAAAATGGCTTGACGACAAGTCGAGGATTTGGTTGAAAATGAAACCGACTCGATGACGAATCGAGGGTTAGGTTGCAAGAAATGATAATAGTCCCTGAGGATGCTCCTAATAATGAAACCACGATGAAATGTGAAAGTGTGTGCGATAGATTGATGGAGAATGCGTACGAGCACTCGACTTACGAGGGGTGTTTGAAAATGGCTCGATGACGAATCGAGAATTAGTTTAAAAACGGTTTAGTCTACACTAGTCCCTAAGGATGCTCATAGAAGATAAACCATAATCAAAGCAAAATACGAATGCGTACATCAGAATAGGAGAGGGGTACATATAAGTTACACGAGATTACACGAAATAAAAGGGTTCATTGTCAAGTAGCCCGAGAGGAAGTCGTGTGTGTGCGAAGTGTTCTAAACTAATTCTTGAGCAAGAATCAAACAAAAGCTCCAAGTTAGGGTTTTTGATAAAGTCCAAATTCCGTTGATCGAAAAAGTAACCAACAGTCCACTAATTTAGGATTTTATGGTTTCGATAATTGTTAAGTGTTTTTAAAGAATATGAATAAGATATGAATATGATATGAATATGAACAATGTGAATAATATAGCAAGATATATAACAATATAATAAATATAATATTCACAATAGTATAATTAAGATGATATTAACAAGTATATGCACAAGATAATATAATCAAGATATAATGACTGAAATTAAAACAAGAATATATTAACGGAAATTAAAGTTGTTAGTTGATTGTGAATTGAATCGGGACGAAATGTAGCGTTAAATCGTCGTAGCTCGATCTATGATAAAGATCAAACTATAGGAGATCGTGCAAGTTGATATCCGTGCTAAAAAAAGATGGAGAAAAGAAAAAAGGGGACGGTCTCGTCTTAATCACAAACTCATGTTAATTAATCGAAGGTAACCTATCACGATCCCAAAGTATAGAAAATGATTTCGATGATAATTTTCTACAAATTTGAAATAATGAAGATTAATAATCTCAATAATCAATGTTTATGAATCTAAAGACTTTATTGACCAATAATCAATGTTTATATGGAAACACGTGAATCTATCTAGATTGAAAAGCCCATGCGCCCAAAAGGCCACAAAGAAGGGTTTCAAAAAAAGAAAAAACAACACAACAGGATCAACACACTTATGATCCTCTTCTTTAAAGTGAAAAAACGAATTAGAAAATAAAAAAAGTCCAAGGTATAGCAACCAGGTAAATCACGTTATGAGAGGAGTCATCTCCAACCTTTCTTCTTTGATCAAGAACAAATCTTATGCCGACAATTCCTTTTTGTTCGTAACCCCTTCGTCTCACACTCGTCACACACAGTTTGGGTTTCAATTTTACTTTGGTACGTTCAGGTTCGTTTGGTTTGTATTTACTTGGTTTCTCAATCACTCATCTATTGCATCTCTTCCGCTTTCTGCTTTGGTTTTGTTGGTGGTTGGTTGAAGAGTTTTGAATTGAAGGATTTGATTGAAGGTTGAAGGTTTATGAAGGATGGATGAAGGTCTGAGGAAGAATGGAGGTTCAGAAGAAAGTTTTGTTGTTTGTTAAGATTAGGTTGAAGAAGAAGAAGAGGGTCAGATAGATTTTTGCAGCGTAAGGGTGGCTATCAAAAGCTTCCGAAAGAGTGAAGAATTGAGGGTCCATTTATAGGAATTGAAAAGGGTAAAATGGGATTTTGAAGTGATATTTGTTTGTGAAATTCATGCTTGATGTTGCTTGGCCGTTTTGGATATTTTGCATATTCATGTTGTTTCACAGATTTGGAATGTTGTGTATCTCATGTGGAGTCGTTTTAGGAAAATGACGTGGATTGTATTGTATAGTGTTGATGCACGTATCAGCTGGGTATTGTGGCGTGAAGGCTTGTGAAAGATGGATTGCAGCTTGCGTTTGG